AACCCCCCCCCCCCCCCCCTTTTTTGTAAACAAAACTTGGGGGGGCAAAGAAAGGAAAAAAAAATGGGTGAAAAAACCCCTGGAGGAGCGGGCCCCGGGTTTAAGGACCCCCCGGGGGGAAGACGAGGCTTTCGGGGACTCTCACCTGGTCGGGGGAAACGTTTCGGGGTATTTCTGCGGAAGTTTGGGGGTGACGGGGCGTGTTTTTTTTTTTTTAGGGGGGGGGGCAGTTTGACGAGGAGAAAAGTCGAAACTCGCAAGCTAGGGGCAGGCGCAACAAGGGGCACGGGGTAACACCAAGCGAAGAAGAAGAAACAAGAAAAAATGCAAGGCCCGGCTTTCATGAGAGAGAACGGCGGCGAAAAGAGAGGAGTAAGGCATCACAACTATAATAGGTAGCGTGGGGGCTCTCTCTCTTGACTAGGCTCTCCGAGCATTCCAACCCTTTGCACTCTCGCGCACGCGCACACCTTCCGAGAGCTCTCCAGTCTCCCCCCCCCCTCCTCTGTCAACGGAGCCCGATAAAGTAAAAAGCGTTCCAAGTGTTCCTTTTTTTTTTTGTGGTGTTCCGCGATGAGTGGCGTGTCTTGTCCTCGGCTAGAGCGTTCGCCGCTACTCTACCATTGTGGGAGAAACGCACCCAACACTCGAACTAGTTGTAGGTCTATCTTCGATGGTTTGCATATTTTCTAAATGGTTTCGCCCGCGTGTCTACCCACACACCACCCCCACAACAGATTTGGGTTCTCGCGAGACTGCGTGGTGGTGGCGGGGAGCGGAGACAACTGCAACTCCCTCGCGGGGATGGGGGTCATACCCTCCCGCGACCTTGGTGTTGCTGCTGCTGCTGGAGGGGCGGAAGGGCAGGGTGCCGCCGGTGGTGGCGACGTGATGGTGAGCCTGGGCACCTCGGACACTCTCCTGGGAGTCACCACGGACCCCCGCCCTACGACGACAGGTGATGGACGTTCGTTCGTTGTGCATCGGTGTCAGTCGATCGGAAGGAACGGATTGAATGTGAAGTGAACGAAGTCACAAATTGCTCTGTCAGTGTTTCGGGGGCGTACTGACTCTCCGGTGTCAAGTGCAACTACGACTGCGGCCACATTTTTGTGTGTACAAAGGTTTGTCGATCGATCAAAAGGCACCATGGATTCGTCACATTCTGTCGATGTTTCGGGGCGCTGCACCTGAGCCTCCGGCATCTCGTGAGCTTGTGTGTGCACGATGGCGGCCGCATTTTTGTGTGGTCAAGGTTTGAGGTTCATGCGTTACGCCTGCCCCGTCCTTCGACCTGTCCTGATTCCAAAAAATTGCTTTGGTAGCCTCTGCGGGTTGAGGCGCACGTATGGCTTCACTGCCGAGGAAAGAAGGGGGGCGCGCAAACCGTACAAGTAGGAAAGTGCGGCTATGGGGGGGAAACGGGAGACAGCTTTTTGGTCGAGCCGACCTTTTGCTCCGTAAGGAATGGGGAGGTTGAATTGCTCCTTCTCATTTGTTTTTCCTGTGATGACCCCCAAGTTTTGTGTTCGATGGAGTGCACGCAAAGTGTTGTCGTCTCCCTGGACTTCTGTGCTGTATGGTCAGGCCACCAAACGAGCAGTTGAGAGAGGGACAGCACGGCCTGCCCGAATGCCGTCGTCCGTGATTTAGAGCAGCAACACGCGGTGGTAGCGGATTGCCAGCCCAGTAGGGAGCAATCGACGACTGACTTGTCTACGGTTATTCGGTGATTGGTTTTCAGGGGAAGTCGCACCTTGATGGATGTCCGACCGTTCGTGGCCTCTCTCTTCCGTGTGAATGGATGCGTCTGGCTCCCGCTCATCGTGTGTCTCTCCATTCATCTGGCTGCCTGCCTATTTGTCTGCCTGCTCGCCTGCTCGCGTGCTCGCCTGTCTCTCTTTCTCTTTCCCTCTCTCTGTCTCTGTCTCTGTCTCTCTCTCTGTGTCTGTCTGTCTGTCTGTCTGTCTGTCTGTCTCTCTCTCTCTCTCTCTCTCTCTCTCTCTCTCTCTCTGTTCCTTTTTGTCGGCTTGTCTCTCTATGTCTCTCTCTTGTCATTTTTTCTGCCCCCCCCCCGGCACTCTTCTCACACATACGGGGCCCCGCGACTACTTTCAATCCGATTCATCCGAAGGGAACACCATGTACCACCCCTGCGACCCTGCGGCGTGGTTTGTGATGCTGGTGTACAAGAACGGCTCTCTCACCCGGGAGGCTGTGAGAGACAGAAGGGCTGGAGGAAGCTGGGACGTATTTTCGAGGCGAGCGATTTTTGTTTTTTGTTTATGGACAAAACAATATCTCCCTCCCGAGGGGGTTACAGAGAGCACTGCGGCAGTGGGTGATGAAACCACATGCAAGAAGCAATAAATTCACTGCCGTTTCAACCGACAGCCCAAAAGAAAATATTTTGCATAGTCTTAAACATCAATCCACAGAGACTTTTTTACTCGTTCGAAATACTCCCACAGCAGTCGAAGGGGGTGGCCTAAAGGCTTTACAGTGAATGGGAAACAAGTGTTTGGTGTTACTCCAGTGCCGGTCGCCAACCAATCAAATCGAATCGAATCGAACCAGGCTCTTGAGGGACGGCAGGCCCGGAAACGGCGGAAAGCTGGGCCTCTTCCTGGACCTGTTCGAGATCACGCCGCAGATCAACCGGCAGGGGAACTTCGTCGTGGACGCGGAAGACCGGCAATCGGCGCAGGTATGTACGGTGTCTGGGGGACGATGATGATGTGGGAGGAGAAAAGTAGGGGGTCTGTGAGAGAGGAAGCCGGGGGAGTGATCGGACGAGGGGGACAGGAGACTGCAAACGGCAACCTTCGTGCTCTCTGCTTAGGGCGTGCGTACTGGCTTGCCTAGAGTGCGGGAGCTTGCTGTACCCACCACCGACACGCACGACGCTGAATTGTACCTCAGGGGGAGCTGAGCGCCGAGGAGGAGGTGAGGGCGGTGGTGGAGGGACGGTTCCTCTCCATGAAGGCGCACGCGAGGGAGCTCGGCGTGGCGAAGCCAGAGAGGGTGCTCGCCACCGGCGGGGGCTCCAACAACGCCGAGGTATGCATATTGTGTTTTTTTTTTTGCTAGCATCAACCGCGCTACCCGGCTGAGCAATGAAAAAGGACTCCAGTCTCGGTGCGGCGGAAAGCAGAAAATGCTTCTGAAGGCATTAGGCGTTGTGTGTGCGCGTGTTTGAGAAGTAACATCGACGGCGATAGCCGACTGACGAAAGGAAAGACGGCAGTCTCAGTGCGGCTGAAACAGGAAACGCTTCTGCAGGCGTTAGGCTTTGTGTGAGAGCATACTTGAGAAGTAACATCGACGGCGATAGCCTGCTGACCAATGAAAAGAGAAGGCGTCAGCATTGTAGCGGTATGAAAAACTCAACCACGCTTTCAAATCAAGGTAAGGGTTCTACCGACAGAGGGGATGCACAGGAGTTGGACGACGTTGTCCTGCTTCTGATCTTCAAGGAGAAGACTCAATACTGCCAGCGTGTTTGTGTTTTTTTTGTTGGCATCGACCGCGGTACTCGGCCGACAACTGAAAACTATTTGGTACTTTTTTCAACGGGACGAAAAAGAACACAACACGCTCTCTTGTGTACGTATTGGTGAGCGTGTCTTCTTCTTGCATCGACCACACTATCGGCTCGCCATTGAGAGCAGACGTCAGTCTCTCACTGCGGCTGGAAAACCCGAGCACGCTCTCTAGTCGTTAGGTGTGTGTGGGTTTATTATTCAGGTGCGACCGCGCGTGGTACCCGGCTGACCAAGACGTCAGTCTTGCAACCAGATAGATAAGCGCGAACATGCTGTGTGTGTGTGACTGCGTTTCAGTAAAAAAAACTTATGGTAGAGTTTGAGGCTGCATTTATGCCGCCGTGTCATCGCAATATTTTTTTTTGTGTTTTCTTGTTGCTGGCGAGCCCGAGACCCCAATTTGCAAGTGAGGAACACTCCTAATTTTGGATGACCCCGCGCGCGCGCGTGCTCTCGCCTCTGCTGACATTCGCGCCACTGGATGGATCGACGAAAAGCTTCTGCAAGTTCTTGCCGACGTATTCCAGGCGCCCGTGTTCACGGCGGCGGCGTCTGATTCCGCGGCAGTAGGGGCGGCGCTGAGGGCGAAGCACGGGGTGGAAGGCCTGAGGCGAGGGGTTCCGTACGTGCCCTTTGCCGAGGTCTATGGGTGAGTGAAATGAGGGAGGAGGGATTTTGCTTTTTGCGGTTCATCGGAAGGGGTCTCCAGGTTCGGAAAATATGGACAGGGATGATGGTGTGTGGAGAGCGACACGGTCGATCCTACTCATATGAGGAGCGGTGCTGGGGGGTGGAGGTGCTGGTGGTGCTACCGTCCACAGCAGTAGTGGTAAATTGGACATTGTGACGAATAAATTCGTCGAGAGTTCTGTAGGTGTATCATGTTCAGTAGTACAATGGTAGCTCCAATATATTAGGAAAAAAACAAATACACACACAGAAAGACTACCCGTTTGAGATATACCCACATTCGAACGGGATGTGGTGGGAGTCCTTTCAGTGAGTGGAGGAAAATGTATGAAGGAGAGTCGAAGGACCTCCCTCGTAAATCGGAGCTACGACTTCTGTACCACCAGTCTTTGGTTGACGGCGGTGGCGGCGAAACAAGAAACTGAGCCTCCGAAAAGTCGACTCGACACCGACTGCTGTGACGTTTCTTGGGTGCGGACCCCAACTGGTGCAACAACCGCTTCTGCCGCTGCTGTTGCCCCACCCCGGTATGAACGACGCTCACCCACTCACTCACTCACTCATTCAATCACTCACTCACTCACCCACTCGCCCTCTCTTCTCGTGGTGCTGTCCACTTTTTTTTGGTGTGTGTGCCTGCTGTACACGACGACAAAGACACAAGACAAAATACCTTAATCAACGTTAGCTGTCGCCCCACACCGGTATGAATGATGACCCTCACTCACTCACTCACTCACTCACTCAATCACTCAATCACTCGCCATCTCTTCTCGCGCTGTCCACTTTTTCTTTTTTTGTGTGTGCCTGCTAGACACGATGACAAAGACACAAGACAAAGGCCTTAATTGTAACTTTAATCCTTAACCTTGTCCGTGACCAGGGAATCCGACATGGGCGAGCCCGCGGCCGTGCCGTCGCCGGACGCCGGCGAGGCCTACGGCGGGATGGTGGACCGCATGGACGCTCTGGAGCAGAGAGTCATGTCCATGGAGAAGGAAGGGGGAGGCTCGGAAGAGGGGAAGGAAGCCCGAGAACCTGTTGCCCCTCCTTCCGTTCCAGCGGGATAGATGAAGAGAAAATGTCGCTTCTCTCCTTCGAGTCCGGTGGGAAAGATAGAAACCTCCTTTTTTTTTTCAGCACACTTGGTTGTGGTACGTAGGTACCAACGTGTGCACGAGCGCGTGCGTGTGTGCGAAGTGTACATGCGTTTTTTTTTTCTTTCCACAGACGCCCTTGGGGGTCGCGAGGTCTGTCTCTCCCTCCGTATCCTTCCAAGCTCACAACCTACCACTGCAACACACCTCCTCCGCTGGCTTTGGGCTTTCCAACGCCCGGCACGAGGGATACAACGCTGGTACCACAACCGCCTGCCACGAACAGACGGTGCTCTTCATCGCGGCCAACCCCGTCAGAGGAAGATGGTCACCGTCTGATCGTGGCAGGCCGTTGTGGTACCAGCCTTGCATCCCTCGACATCGGGTGTTGGCAAGTCCATAGCTAGGGGAGGCGTGGAGGTGGTAGGTCGTGTGCTTGGTTGCAGGGAACGGGGCGTCGTAGAGCCGGCAGGGCACACATTGGGTAGGGGGCAGAGAAGTACGGCTGGGTCTCCAAAGCCCTCTCACTGATCATTGTCAGACTTTATCATGTACATGCTGTGTGCAGAGTATTTCGAGGCAGCGTGGTGGACGACTGATTCATTTCAAGGTCTGCAAGGTTAACCTGTCCCCTTCTATGTCCCTGCGCCCACCGCGTTGTTGCGGGCTGCTCGTGTGGCTTAGTCTGTAGGTGGAGGAGACGGCTGTTGCGTGTATAGAATTCACTATAGGTGGAGGAGATAGCTGTTTCACTTTTCCCTCCCCCCTTTTTGTGTTGAAAAAGTAAAGGTGTACCACAGTCGAACGGGACTACAGACTGACAGCAGTACAGCTTGGCCGGGAGCCGGGAGCAGCCTAGACGCCTAGACCCGAATTTAGTGTTACGTGAACCCCCCCCCCCTGGAAAAGTTTATTGCGGAGTAAAAGTTTGAAGCCGATTTTCCTAACTCGAGAAGCTTTTTCTTTTTCTTGTTTGCCCCCCCGAGTGTGGCGTTGCCCTAAATTGTGTCCTCTGGGGGGAACGAACACGGGGTTCGTGTTCGGGTAGCGGAGGACATCCAAGATCTTACACTTCTAAGAAAAAATGGACCGTCCAGTTGTCGTCCACTTGCCGACAACTTCTCGAAGGCGCCATCCAGTTGTCCACTTTTTCCCCACGGGCCCCAAAACAGCTGTCGTTGCCCTCTCGCAAGACAAGATCGCAGCAACAGTAATGTAGCTGTTCATCGCAACATTGAAAAAACGCCGCTCGCTCGCTCTGCCGTCGGAAAAGATCAACTATACAATGATCAAGTGGAGATAGATTCCAATAATCAGCACGAACCGCTCACCTGAGACAATCCCCTGTCCACATAAAACTACCCCTTTTTCTGCCGGGCGCTGGTGGCCTCGTACGGAGCAGCCCGCAGAAAGGGGACGAAGTGTCCCTCCGTGCACGTGCAAGGGTTGTGATTTTAGAGTGCACGCCCGGCAGCAATCAATCTCCTCCACGAGAGGAGCAGCAGCGACGCCATCGACACAACAAAAAAAAAAACGGCTCCAAACCGCGTCTTGAAGAATGAATCTATTTACCACTTTTTTTGCTTTGTCCGGCGAGGAAGACGGCTTTCTTCGCTGGGCTCAGTAGATGGGGTCTTCCAGGATCAAAAGTGTGGCGAAAGGAAAAACGTGTGGTTGGTTGCGCTTTCATCCCGAGCGTGCGCACACCGTGACACACCCAACGACGGATGGGATGGGTGTGACGCGAAGAAAGCATCGTCGCCGAGGGGGCGGAAACCGGGAGCAGAATCACGAGGAGCAACAGAACATGCGCAACGCCCGTAACGGACGCGCGCGTTGCGCATGTTGAACGATGTCGGACAGGAAACCCGCCAAAAAATCGCTTAGACAGAGGCGTAGACTAGCAGTGTAAGAGACCGCGCTTCCAAAGCAGTGAAGAGCAGAATGCACGGGGCTGCGTAGCGAAACTCGCCCGAGGAACCCAGAAAAGCCTCCGACATGGAGGAATAGGGAGGAATAGGCTGGAGCGCGGGACGAAACGTCAACGCGAGCCCGGGTGGCACACAAACCAGAGCAGAGGGGGCCCCAGCCGAGCATTTGACAGGGAAGGATGATAAATTTACTCTTGTGTTTTCTCCCATAACATCCAAGGAGGTCGGGCGCGCGCGAGACGCCCGTCTCACTTTCTTGAGGTAACCGTCGAACGCGCTTGCCCTTGTGTGATGATGCCATCCCAGAACGCGTACCAATAGACCACGCGGCTACATTCGCGGTGAGGGGTCTCCTCAGCTCTGGTGCCCTCGACAACAGCGTCCAGCGTCCAGCATATGGTTGTCATCTCTTGCAGAGTTTCAGAAGAAAGAAACCAAGCATCCACCGCCACGGAAAAAAAAAAGAAAAGCAGGGACGTCTGGTGGGAGCCACCAAACCCAAGACATGGGCAAGCTTTCTGCAACGAGTGAAGGAGAACGTTGAGGTTGGCCCAAAAAACAAATCAACACATCCCATCATCGTTCATGGGCTTCCGTCTTGCAGCAGGACAACCCCCCCCCCCCCACTCCCCCAATACTTCCCTCCCTCCCTGCTTCCCACGTTCTACGCGGGGTAGTCTATGCGCTCGGTCCTCCACTACGAGCCGTCACGCCACAAACTCAGCGGGACAACTTGTGATTGCCGCCCGAAAAAAAGCCAAAAAAATTCCATCATCGTTCCGTGTGCTTCGCATTGCAGCCGGCAGAACCCCCCCCGACCCCTCAGATCGCCTACAAATGCGCTCGGTCCTCCAGTAGGAGCCGTCATGTCACAATAAGCTTAGGACGACTTGCGCTTGCCGCCCGATCGCCTTCCGCGGCCCTTTTTTCGAGGGGCCGCCGCCGCCGGCACACCTTCCGCCGCCGCTGTCGCTGCCGCTGCTTCCGCAACCGGCGGTGTTGTTGCTGCCGCGGAGACAGCCTCTTCCCGCGGAGCTGATGCCTCGGGGCCTGGTCGATGGTTTTTTCGGAAGGGGGGGGGGGGGGGCTTTAGTATCATGCGTGGCCAAAAGGGGGGGCACTCATGTGTGCAGGGAAGTAGCTATTGCAGGGTTTTTTTATATGAAGTAAGCATGTTGGATAAAGCATGCAATCGGGGAAGTTGGGTTGGGGTTGGGGTTAGGGATCGGGTCTGCGTACCCCCTCCCTGTTCTACTTCCTCATGAACGTATTTTCTTGAGAAGGGGGTCCAATTTTTGGGGGAGCTCATTATGGTGTGGGGGGTATAGCCTGTGCCCCGTGGGGGGGGGGGGGGGTAGACTCAAAGGAAAATGTGAAGCACCACGATGATTGCTCGAGGCGCGTTGGCATGACAAGTCACGCGGGAACGAGCGGGAGCCGCAAGAGGCTGGCTTTCCCCACCAGACTTTTAGCCCGCTGCTGCAGCTGGTGGAAGAATAAGAATTCAACGGCAGCAGTGGTTTCCGAAATCGCCGTCATGTCATTCCGCCCTTTTAGTCAGCTCGAAAGTGAAAAACAGAGTGAGTCCTTCTACAAGTACGCGTACACAGCAGTTCCTTGATTCCGACGTCGACATATCCGAAGGGTCTAGTACTCCTCCTCCTCCTCCTCCTCCTCCTCTCCCCAAGGCGTTCGCCGGGAAGCGGAGCGGGGACTCAAAAAAGACCGCAAAATTTTCGCGGAGGCTTTGACGCAACCGATTTGAACCGTCGAAAAACCACACTACACCCAGCTCCATTTTGAGGGCGGGAAGATGTACCCATATAAACGCATGCCGTGCAATAGTCGTTAGAACAATGACCTCGCACGCCGGGATGGAGTAGCGATATGCCGGGTGTTCGCCAGCCCAGGCTACACTACGTTTCACAAGGATATTCCCACGAGCTGGTGGTCAGCATCACCCTTGCAATTTGTTGTGCCAAACCCTATACAGCACTGGTCTCGCGATGACGCCGGTCGAACGCTGCCGGTTGCCCGGTACAATGCCGATGGAATAGTCCGGCACAGATGGAATATTCAAGTTCTTTCATACTCTGTAAGAATGCCAGTTGCCCGCAAATTGTGCAGCTTCAAGGGGCCGGCACCTACCAGCACTATACCGGGACCACTGCTATGCACCACGGGGTGGGAAGGGGGGGGCGTACTCATTTGTTGCTTGCCGTAGTCATTTGACCATTGACCACGCGTCCCTTTCGAGACGGAGCACCGTTCCTACACCTACTAGAGACACCACCAACATTTGGGAGCTCTTTACGTTTCTGCCACAAACTCCATAACAATTTCTTGCACATCTTATCCCCGTCCTCTAGGGACTCTTGTGCCCACCATCTATCCCCAATTATCGCGATCGTTTTTTCGCTGTTGTCTAATTTACCAAACTTGTCCATGTCACACCCTCTCTGTCTCATTTCCTCCTCGAGATCCTCTCTTTCCTTCCTGTACAACTCACACTCCCCAACTATGTGGGGTCTACTCTCCTCCGATTTGCCACATGGACATGTGTGTCTATCCTCCTCTTCCTCTCTCCTACGGCTGGTATACCTCTTCCTCCGTTCTGGCAAGTCCAGATCGCCTACTCGAAATTGCAATTTCAGCTTTTTCGCATAGTCCATGGGGCCGTCCAAGTACTTCTTCATCCCTATCCCTTCTTTCAACTTCCCGTATATCTCCAAGTGGTCTTCGCTTCGTACCTTCTTGCGAAGGGTTGTCTCCTCCCTACTCTCTAGCATCTCCTTGACTTTCGTCTTGAACCCCCGCGAACCCTTCCGTGTCCAACGTCTCCTCCTCGTCTCCTATCTCCTTCCAAACCTTCTCTACCACCTTGTCCCATCTGATTCCCTTCTTCCCTGGAGTCGCTTTTCCCCAAGCTGCCTC